TTCTTAGCACATAAGAAGTTGGAGGTTTGCAGAAGAAAATGGTTATTTGCACAGGAGCAGTATTACGCTGTATTTGTGAAAGCTTTTTAATGTGGTTCCTCTTTTTTCCCAATAGGTGCAGGAGTTCTCTGTTGAACCTCCTTGTCACTCAGACGATGAGTATGAATCAATGGCTCAAGTTCAGACTTCTCCTTGTCCTCCAGAGCTACAGTCACGCCTGCGTCCAGGCCCTCAAAGTCCCAGCGAGTCAAACCCACACAGACCGCTCAGTCTCGACTTGCACAGTCGACACACAAAATCCCTCAGCCTGCCTTACATGACCTCGCCTGTCCACGGACCGGATGAGTCTTCATCTGAAGACGAGGCTATGGGGGATGACATTGGTGATAACGAGTACAGTAGCGAGGAAGACGAGAGCATGTTCGTTAAAAGCCTTCCACCGGATTTCTTTTTGAACACAATCTCTGGGTTGGAACCTGAAACTGATGGAGAGGAAATTTCCCCTCATTATAGCGTTTCTGTGCATTACATAGAGAGCTCTGAAGAAAGAGACTGCCAGTCACTGAAAACTGAACATTCGGCATGTACAGAAACAACTACGGGAGAGCGGGAGCAGGTAGAAGTGAACGACAGAGAAGATAAAAATGGACTGGATGAAAAGGAGATGATAGAAAAACAAGAGGAAACTAAAGTTCATCAGGAAGGAGACCAGCTGGAAAACGACATGCAAAGGTGACAACTGATTACAATCTCAGATTTTAGTATTTATCATTATAGTTACCATGCATGTGCATTTTTGTCTTAATCTTTCCTGACTGGCAGACAGAAAAAGCACAACAACAACAATTTTATCTGTTATTTTACACTAACAGTGAGTCAGAAAACCACAACAGTGTGTGTGATTGTAGCTTAAATGCTTGATGTTTAATTAGAATGTGACCAGGTTCTGCACTTCCTGTCTGACATATGATGTTTGAGCATCTTTCAGTTCGTTATTTTGATTTTAAACTCGCCTTATTGTTTTCATCTTTCTCTGCAACTGGGTCCAGCAACCTAATAATCTGAATATACCCAGACAACAGTCAGCCGGTGAAACCTTTAGACTGTAATGACCCAGATATTTCCCTCAGGAGTTTGAGAAGGCCAAACAGAAATAGAATGGAGAGTGAACAGGCTATTTGACCTTACTTATGAGAAACGTTATTCCACATGAATGAGAAAGATGTAAATAGTGCTAGCATGCTTAACATATAAACTTGAAAAGGTTTACATGTCAGTTATGTTTTTGTGGCTGATTTTGGAGAAGAAACCGAACTGCACGCTTTTCAAAAGACACTATAATCACTTCACTCTTGTTTTGCTGTGGTGATTTGTTTTCCAGTATCCTGTAGTTAAGTTGTGTGGTCACAGTGGCCACTACTTGGATGATTTGAAGGCTAATGCCTGAAACCTGTGTGCACCCCCTGGTGGAAAAAGATTAAAAGTACAGTGTGGCAGATAGCACCACATGTCCTTCCCGTCCCTCCATTAGAAAATCATAACAAACTGAGGAGAATTCTCTTTTGATACATTAAACTTTGTGTCATCAGCTTGAGAAATGCTACAAGAATAAACTGCTACAAGTTTAATTAAATCAGGAAGAAATATTAAATAAGAAGCTCAAAATTAGAGCTCAAAAAATTCTATAAACAAACGTTAATATGTCTTAAAGTCTCACTTATATTGTACGCGTCTAAACTGTTTTTGTCTCTTAACTATCTGCAGCAGAGAAACAGAGGAACATCTGGATATTATGAAAGATACTGAAAGTGAAATATCCTCAACAACCTGCTGTACAGAGTTTCCACTGCCAGTCACCGAGGACGCTGACGAATCCAGCACTGTGGCTGGCACGAGCGTTGAGGAGGTGGAGGAAGTAGTTGAAATTGCTCACAGCGATTGTCCATCTCAGGAAATGATGAACCAGAAAGAAACTGAATCAACAAATCATACCAGAAGCTGTAATGGAGGGGGTACAACAGAGAGAGACAATAAGGAGGGGGAGAATGGTGTGATATGCAATGAAATGGAGGACATGTGTGAACAGTTTGTACTGAAAATAGAGGAAAGTGATGAGAGAATGAGGGAAGAAACCTCAGAGGGAAAAGCTGACAGAGAACACGACAGTAGCAATGAGCAGGATACCCAAATCTGTGGGAAACACAATGACATTTGGGAAGAACTAGAGGACATTGTATCTGAAGTGATAGAAGATGAGGAAAAGGCGCAGTCTGAGAGGGAGGGTGATGTTGGGCAAGAACATTTGGTAAAAGATGAACAGGACGAAGAGCACGGATCAAAGGAAATGGTGGAAGACGACAAAGAGGAGGCGAAGAAGACGGAAGGTATGATAGAAGTAGACGGTGAACCAGTTGAGACGGCTGAAGGAGCGCCAACAAGTTTAGAAATGCAACAAGAGTTTAACGAAGATGAGACCCAGAGAGAAACTCATGAGAAGATGGCCAGCAAGGAAGACTCTCAGGAACATGTCACAGCAGAAGCGTTTTCAGATCAGCCAGAGAATGAGAGCGATGGTAAACAGACAGCCGATGAGCAACTTGAAACTGCGCCAAGTGAAGATAACCAATTTAAAGAGGTGGGCTCTGATATGAAAGAGGGAAGAGAGAGTGAGAAGAGTGACGGCCCCTTAGAGGGTGTCGGAAGCACGCTGGTCTCCTCACAGCCGAAGATCTACCAAGTTAAAGCCGTGCCGGTGGTGCCTCCGAAGCCGCAGCACTGCAGAATCACCGCCCTGACCATCCGACAGCAGCAGCAGCAAAGAGAGAGAAGAGACGGCGACAGAGGGAGAGACAACACGCTGAGAGTCCCAGGAGAGCAGGACAAGGACGGAGACCAGAGCGACGAGGGCTCTGAGAAGAAAGAGAGTCCAAAGCTCAGGGGAGATAGCCGGGAGAGAGAGGGGAGGAGGGACAGGGCCGAAGTCAGAAACAGTCCCCTCAGCATGTGCTTTGATGAGGCTGTGGCCATTGCAACCATGAGGAGAGAGAAAGAGAGGGTGAGAGAAGGAGAGGCGGAGGCAGACGCGCTGGGGAAGTGACGTAGAGGTTTGAATTGTACAAACTAGTTTTCCCCACACAGAGTTAAAGGCTGTATTTTCTTATATAGAGGGGTGAATTTATTCCATTATACATTACAGCAACAGCAGCCCTGCTTATGTAAGGCAACTGATTTAGCCGTTTCGGTGTTTCTTTGTAGAATGCATAAACTCGACGTGCAGTCATAACCGATAGTTTTCTAATATAAATATTGTTCAAGGGAAGATTTGTTCTCCCTTCATTTACCAGAACAGAATAGACCGCTGAGATGATATAAAGGGAATCAGATGCGGGGGTTGGATTTACGCGGTCAGCATCTTGAATCCTGATATTAAGAGGAATAAACTGAAACAGATGACAAACACTGAAGTGCTGCTCCAGTGTGACAAACCATCTGGAAGAACTGCTAGAGTCTGGGTTGCTAATCTAAAAGTAAAAACTATTCGCATTGAATACACTCCCTGTTACACTCGGTGTTTGCACGAGTAACGAGTTTTCTCTCTCGTTACAGAAAAGTGTACATAAAAATAGAGGTTTGATGCCAAATACAAATGTGTTTAAAAAGATGCATAGACTATATCATTTAGCAGGAATATGATGTCAACAGATCCAAAGTTGTTTTGCATTGTGTGAATAAAACATGTTTTCAATATGCTGTGTTTTCTTCAATCCTTCTTTATTTAAACTTTATCAGAGCTAACAAAGTGTTGGTGCTGAAGCTGAAGTTATAAATAGCTTTTATTGTTACGTTATAAAAATGCTGCTGGTATTTGCTTACATCTTCAGGATGTTAACTGACAGATAAGCTGAAGGTAAATACAAAAAAATCATTAAAATAACTTCTTCAAGCTTCAAAAATCACTCGAAAAATAACTCTACTTCCTTTTCGTTGATTACACCGTCTCTTAAACATATATCGCACATCACTACCATCTTGTTAACCTTCATTTCACTCTTGCTGCTATCCGTGTGTCACACATTTTCTTTAAAAGTTACTTTTTTCTTTACAAATCACCCCCAACGCTCCTCTTCACCTCTCTTGTGCACTGTTCATTGCTTTGGATGGTTGGCCCCTTGCATTTATCCACCTTGCACTACCTTTGCTCCTTACATATTCACCTTTTTCTACCTGCCTCCCTCTCACTCACACACATGTATTCTGTTTTGCTTCTGTAACCTGAAGCTGATGGTCTTTAAAACAAAAGAACTCATAATAGACTTCATAAGGCACAGACAGGTTCATTCCCCTCTTATTATAAAGGGAGAATGGTTGGATTCTGACTCCATCTTTAGGTTTCTGGGGACTCACATCTCCGTCGATCTTATCTGGACCCACAGCACCATCGCCTTGATAAAGAAGGTCCAGCAGCGGCTGCACTAACTCCGCGTCGTAAGGAAGAATAACCTGAACCAGAAGCTCCTGCTAGCGTTCTACTGGTCCTCAGTGGAGAGCGTGGACTCCAACTATCTGGGTGCAGTGGCCACAACTGACAACAGGAAGGATGAGCAGAGGAGAACCAGGGCAATCACAGGTGACCCCTTGAATCCCACTCACTACCTGTTTGACCCACTGCCCTCTGGTCGACACCTCCAGACACAAACAGCTTCTTCCTGGGGCTATTCGGACTGCAAACAAACACTGTTCTCACACACCCCACCCCTGCCCACCAACCTCACCACCTTAGCCATAATGATTATAAATCCCTCATAATAAACGGAGCAGTGTTCTCTAATATATATATA